CGCCCTGAGGAGCTCCTGGAGCCTGTCCTGCAGTCCCAGGATAGCCCTGTCAAGGAACAAAAGAAGGAAGGAAAGAACTTTTAAAAAGCAGACAATGAATCAGCACAGGACCTAGGTTTCTCACTCCCTTGTTGCGAAATGGTCCTTTCCCCTTCTTCATAACTTCCTTGGTTATGAAATGGTTCTTGTTCCACTCTACCTCCTTACAAAAGGTATACCCTAAGCTGTGAATGATTGGGTCTCCATTCATAGAAATTGGTGGTATAAATAAATAAGTAGTCACGGTGGAAAATATACCCCTTTACATGATTCACATCATTCGCACAATAGCATTCTTGCTGCTTTGATCTCACCTGACCCCCCTGCCAACTCCTCATCAAGTTATCAGGGTAAAACAGAACTGAATCACCACTTTTTAGTGTTGGTGAAGTCTTCAACTCTTCTTACTCCAGAAGAAAAGAGAAATTATTTTTTGAGGGTAGAAAAAAATACAAGTACAGCTATAAAACAGGTATTTCACCTGTTGAAGGTGTCAGGTTCAATCTCTGAACTGGTTGCTAGGCTGAGAAATCGGGATAAGATACTCTTTTGACAGCAACTTAGATTGTCTGAACTTCCAATTGGCCCATAAATATTTTTAATTATCTTACAAATACCGACTCCAAGTTTAATTTTAATTAATACTTGTTTTAAAATTGTATTTCAGGAGAATTTGGGATAAAGCCAGATTGATCCATATGGATAATTTTGCCAATAATCATTTTATCGATTAGCTGACAATTTAGTGTAGAGCTAATAGTCTTTTAGGAAATGAAATAGGCCTATAAGATGGCAAATCCTCAAAAACTTAAGGTGCAAATACAAGGTGCAAATACAATATTTTGCACCTTGTAACTCTTGTAACTGTATCTTGGAAATAGTCTACGATAATTTTGATTCTTAAGTCAAGTACACTAATGTATATTTAAAATCTCCTTGGCATTGAGCTTCAACTCTGAGCAACCATGTATTTAACTTCACTAAACAACAAAGAACATTTAGCACAACATGCTAAAGTAGGTCAGGGCATGAGTTTAAAGTGTTGTGAAGAAGAAGGAAGGTTTATTTTAGCAGTTTATCAACCCCAAGGCTAAACCAACTGTTTGGTTAACTGTTTTATTATTATATGATATGATATGATATGATATGATATGATTATATTATATGATATATTAAGTGTTGTACCTTATGGTTCTTGACAAATGAACTGACGAATTTCTTTTATGTACACTGAGAGCATATGCATCAAGACAAATTCCTTGTGTGTCCAATCACACTTGGCCAATAAAGAATTCAATTCAATTCAATTCCATTCCATTCCATTCCATTCCATTCCATTCCATTCCATTCCATTTCCATTCCATTCCATTCCATTCCATTCCATTCCATTCATTTCTACTCTATTCTATTCATTGAGGAAGAGGAGGCAAGATTCTACCTTCCTGATTACAAGCCAATAATGAAGTCTTAAAGCTCAATATTCAATAATCCAATATCCTAATACCAGAGTGAAGTGAAAAAGGTGGCTTTGACCTCCAATGCAACTCTTTTTCTCCACATAGTGCAAGAAAGAAATGGTGCAAGAAAACCTCCCGCCACCTTTGTGGCTGTATCTCAGAAAACCTTGCTGACTGATTTCAGTCATGCACTGATAAGTCAATTTCCTGGCAGAGTGGATGACTCAATTAATAATTTGGCCGTGAGGTCCAGGTAATCAAGGGAGACATCTGAATCCATTTTGTTATACTTGGAATGGAATTTAATCAGGAAAGACAAAATCACCAGAACAGATACAGGAGGGGGTCAAAACAGGCTGGATTCACATATTGCAATAAGCCATGCAATCCTGGCTTAATGGAAGGTATGAATCTTGAGCAGAGGGTTGGACTAGAGGTCTTCTCCCAACTCTGTTCTTCTGTTATTCTGAGCCCCATAGGTAGATAACAATTTTTTGAAAATTCTGATTCATTGCAAAGTAAATGAGCAGGGCTTAGGCACAGCTGTGTAAGAGACAAGATTTTAACGAATGCACTTCTCCCTTCTCTGCAAGAAAACCTCTGCCAGTCACAGCCCTTCTCTTAAATCTTAAATGCAGCCTCTGCCCTCCCCTGGGTCCTTATGCAGGAGTCAGATTGCTGAAGTATTTTATGGATTTATTTTGAAGTATTTTATTTATTCAATTCCATTCAATTTATATGGCTGCCCAATTTGCATTAGCAACCCTTGGTGTTGAACCCCTTTGAAAATTTTAATATAGTAACACAAAGTAAAAATAAAAAATAATAAAACACAACTAAGTAAATGTGCTTCTGAGGCAGCAAGTTGTCACCAATCTTGCTTTCAGGACAGAAGAACCTATAGGTCAGGGATCCTCAAACTTGGCAGGTTTAAGATTTGTGGACTTCAACTCCCAGAATTCTCCAGCCAGCATAGCATAGCATAGTACAGCATAGCATAGCAGGCTGGAGAATTCTGGGAATTAAAGTCCACAAGTCCTCTGCTATAGGTGGTTAAATCCCTGGTTTTTATCCATTTTAAGTCTGATTTTATGAGCGTTTCATAGTCGCTTCACTGTGTTTCTTGTGAGCTATCCAAGAATGATAGGAAGAGGCAGCATGCAAAGGTTTGGTCACCTTGCAGAAGAGCCATCGAGGGCCATCCTCACACAACCCGTTTCCCATTCTTGCCGAAATAGCAACCTACATCCAGTGCTTGCACAATATCTTGAGATTAACCAGGGGTGAAATCCAGCAGGTTCTGACAGGTTCTTGAGAACCGGTAGCGGAAATTTTGAGTAGTTCGGCGAACCAGCAAATACTACCTCTGGCTGGTCCCAGAGTGGGGTGGGAATGGAGATTTTGCAGTATCCTTCTCCCAGGAGTGGGGAGGGAATGGGGATTTTGCAGTATCTTTCCCCTGGAGTGGGGAGGGAATGGAGATTTTGCAGTATCCTTCTCCCAGGAGTGGGGAGGGAATGGGGATTTTGCAGTATCTTTCCCCTGGAGTGGGGAGGGAAGGGGGATTTTGCAGTATCCTTCCCCTGGAGTGGGGTGGTAATAGGGATTTTGCAGTATCCTTCCCCTGGAGTGGGGTGGGAATGGAGATTTTTGCAGTATCCTTCTCCCAGGAGTGGGGTAGGAATGGAGATTTTGCAGTGTCTTTCCCCTGGAGTGGGGAGGGAATGGGGATTTTGCAGTATCCTTCTCCCTGGAGTGGGGTTGGAATGGCGATTTTGCAATATCTTTCCCATGGAGTGGGGGAATAGGGATTTTGCAGTATCCTTCCCCTGGAGTGGGGTGGGAATGGGGATTTTGAAGTATCCTTTCCCCTGCCACACCCGCTAAGCCACACCACGCCCACAGAACCAGTAGTAAAAAAAATTGGATTTGATGCGATTGTTTAGATGCCACATATTATCACATATGGTGGACCTGCAAGAAAGTGAAGGCTTTTCGGATAAAAATCTGGTGGGTTTATGCAAAATGTTTTGAAGAAAAAACTACAGTTTTCTCCACAATTGTTCTTATTGGGTATAGTTAAGGGTTTTACATTGGGCGAAACAAAGCTGATATTGTATATGGTGACAGCAGCGAGATTATTGATAGGTCAATACTGGAAAAATGAAGCTTTGCCCACTATTGAGGAATGGACTTTGAAGATGGCCAGTTTTGCAGAGATGGCGAAGATTTCAGCATATTTAAAAGATCGCTCACAAGAGACTTATGAATGGGAGTGGAAAAAGTGGATAGATTATGTGCAGAATAAATATCAAACTAGGAAATATCAGATAGCTTTTAGCTGAATGAATGTATTATGTAAGGATAAATTAATTGAGTTTTATGAAGGTAAAAATAGTATAGGGGGGTGGAGGGGTTTAAGCTTTATAAAATGTATTTTTTGATTAGGATTTTATTTTGTGGAAGTCCTGGGGGGAAAAGGGGAGGGCTAGGGAGGGTCTGGGGGGGGGGGGGAAATTGGGGAGAAAATGTACTTGTAAAACTTTTTAAATAAATAAAAAAAAAATTGGATTTCACCACTGGCATTAACTAACTGACCAGGCTTCCCAAGAAGGTGTCACTCACCCCTCAGCAACTGTTAAGATGGAGGACTTTTAATTCCCAGAATGCTCCAGCCAGCAAGAGTGGACTTCAACTCCCAGAATTCCCCATCCAATGAAAAGCCTTGTTTTTGGGGAGCTTCTTTCCTTTTCCCCTCCATCCCCCCAATCAACCCCCATCTACCCCCCACACACACCAATGACGTCACTACAGTACTCCATTGCCTGGCCGTGACGTCACCGCGTCACTGAAAAGCGGTGATTCGTTTCCTTGCCGTGCCTATCATCCTCTCTGCTCTCTCTGTCTCCCCCCCGCCCGCCCTTTTCAGGTTGCCTAGGCAACTTCCAAGCCCCTTCCAATAGAGAGCCCACTCAAACCCTCGCTCCCGTCAGCCACCGCGGCGGGGTGTGGGCTCGACGCGTCTTTCCTTTCGCTCGCGCGCGCGCGCGCCCCGCCCGCCCGCCTCACCTGTCCATACGGGTAACTGGCCGCCATGGAATCTTCCTTCTTCGTCGCGCGGGGAACGCCCTTCCTTTTTCTCTCTCCCCCCCCCTCCACCCTCCCCCTGGTTCTAGTTTGATTGGACGAGAGGACCCTCGCGTGGCGCACGAACGTGGGCGGATCAGCTGTCACTCACCCTGGCGGGGCGGGGCTTCGCGAGCGTCAACGCTATAAAAGGGCAAGACGTGAGGGCTTTTGTTTTTTACCTCATCCTTTTTTTTCTCGCTAAACCAGAGGTCTTCAAACTTGGCCGCTTTAAGACTGGTGGACTTCAACTCCCAGAATTCTCCAGCCAGCATAGCTGGCTGGAGAATTCTGGGAGTTGAAGTCCACCAGTCTTAAAGCGGCCAAGTTTGAAGTCCTAAGAACTCAAAAGCAGCAGCCTGGCTGAATGTGTGTGTTGTTATTCCGCCCAGGTTCACACCAGCCCTGTAAAGTAGGCTGATCCCAAAATCACCAGTTATGCTCCAATCAGGCGCTGATGAGTGGCATCTACCCTCTTTAATATATTTAATTATTCACGTTCTTGGTTGATCAAATGCTTTGTGGGAAGCCTCCGCGCCCCTCCCCTCCCCCCACAAATCCTAGAAGAATGAAATATTTTGGGGGAAATGAAAAAGGCAGGATATAAAATATTTCCCTCAACATCTTTTTTACATCGTGCGACCAAAACTGAATGCAATATTCCAAGTGTGGCCTTACCAAGGCATTATAAAGTGGTATTAACACTGTTAGATATGTTCGAGGATCGTGCCCAATAACTCCATAGACAAAATCCTAGTGTATCAAGTATTGTTTATTAATTAAGCATCTTATCGTTACAGGTACAAGTCTGGAACTGAGGCAGGACCGCATGGCCGACCCTTAAGTACCCCTGGGGCGTGGCTAAGGTAAGGAGGGGTCATTGAGGTTAGGGTGGACCTTGGGGGTTGGCTTGCCCAGCCCCCTGCTTCTGGATCTGGATCAGAGGCAAGGCATTTATTCATGACAAAACCCCCTCTAAATGCCTGGCCGAGATATTTTTCTATGTTATGTACTTGAGTTGCTTTTTTCAAGAGGACTCCTAATTTTGATGTGAGATATGTGTGCTGTTTATTTTGTAACGGCTTTGTTAGGATGTCTGCTGTTTGTTCTTCCGTGTCACAATGTATGACCTCCACAAAACCTATATTCACGAACTGCCTGACATGTTTGTATTTTATGTCAATATGCCTCGACCTTTGACCCACTGCTTCAGCCTTAGATATTTCCATGGCGGCTTTATTGTCCTCGTGCATGATGATGGGGTAGCTTGGCTCGGCCCATATGTCAGCGAGCAGGTCATCAAACCAGACCAGGTTGTTGGCGGCTTTAGACAAGCAGATATATTCAGCCTCCGTGGTGGATGTGGCTACCAAGTCTTGCTTGCCTGTGTACCAGTGAACTGGGCTGTCGTTTAGGAAAAATATGTAACCCGAAGTGCTTTTCCTGCACTTCACGTCTCCAGCCCAGTCAGCGTCAGCATAGCACGTGAGTGTGGGTGCTTTGGTGTTCTTGGGTTCTAATGACAGGCAGGCCTCGGAAGTTTGCTTTAAATACCTTAATACCCTTTTGATGGCCTCCCAGTGGTACACGGTGGGCTTACCCACGTGTCTTGACAGCAAATTGACTGGCAATGCGATGTCTGGCCTGGTCCAGTTTGCAATGTACAGTAGGGAGCCTATGGTGGATCTATATAAAGTGTTGTCCTTGAACGCTTCAGCCTCATTATACATGTCCTTCAAGAAGTCTGGCTGCATTGGCGTTTCACACCCCTTGGCGTTTGTCATGCTGCATTTGTGTATTAGTTCTAAAATTTTATCCCTCTGTGACAGCTGAAAACCCTTGTCGGTCTTCGTGATCTGTACCCCCAGGTATTTGTCTACCTTGCCCAATATTTTTAGTGTAAAATGTTTCCCCAGCTCATTGGCGAAGTTATTGCATTTGCTGGCTTGATCACCGATATACAATATATCGTCTACGTATATCAAAACATACTCGGGGGAGTTGCCTGACTTCTTGGTGAAGAAGCAGTTGTCGGCTGAGGTGGCTGAGAACCCCATGGATTTCAATGTCTTGGATAGGCACTCATACCAGCGTTTCCCTGACTGTTTGAGTCCATACAAGCTCCGGTTTAAAATCCAGGTTTCCCCCTTTTTGGTGCTTTGGCTGGGTGGCGCTCTCACGTATATCTCTTTGTCGAGCTCAGCGTGCAGGTAAGCGGTTTGCACGTCGAATTGGTGCACCTCCAGCCCCAGCAGTGATGCGACCACCAGTGCACATTTCACGCTCTCAGCCCTGACTGTGGGGGAGTACGTTTCCGTGTAGTCATCAGGGTATTTCTGGGCGAATCCCTGGGCCACCAACCTTGCTTTGTAGAGCACTTTGTTTCCCTCTAGGGTCTTAATCTTATAGACCCACCTAGTGCCTATGGTTGTCTTTCCTGTTGGAACTTTAGAGGGAGTGTATACATTTAGTTCCCTCAAGCTGTCCATTTCCCTTTCCATGGCTTGCTCCCATTTCTCTCTCTCCTCATTTGGTAACCCCAGTACGTCCTCATATGTGTTGGGGGTTAGTTGGTTATTATGTAGGGATAATATGTAGTCCCCTAACCTTTCTGGCCTTTTGCCCCTGTTTGTCCTGACTGGTCTGTCAGGAGGTGTCTCTGTGTCATGCATGTACCTAGCTTCCCTCTCGGTGAGTGCGTCTACTTTAATGAGCGGGTGGCTTTCCTTCCATCCCTTCACTGGTATTTCCTGTCCTCTGGGTTTGTTCTTTCTGTGTTCAGTGTCCCTCTCTGCTTGGTGTTTCATTTCCTTTTGATCATCCCCTGGTCCGTCCTTGTTAAGGGACACCTCGTTGAGGTGTATTTTGGACCAGTTAGCGTTTTCGTGGAAAACAGCTGTTCGTGATATCACGAAATTGTTGCTGCTGTCTATGAACCTGTATCCTTTTGTTCCCGGTTCATAGCCCATGAACCTCAACCTCCTGGATACCCTGTCCCCCTTACGCCTGAGTTGCTTGGGTATGTGCACATCTGCAGTGACCCCGAATATGTGTAAGTGTGACACTTGTGGTTTCCTTTGGTACATTAATTCATATGGGGTTTTATTTAGTACGCTGGACCACAGTCTATTTAGAGTATAATTCGAATAAATGAGTGCTTCGGACCAGAAATGCTGCCCTAGGCCGGCATCGTCTAGTGCGCACCTCATCATGGTCTGTAGCGTTCCGTTTTTTCGTTCCGCCACGCCATTTTGAAAAGCGGAAAAAGGAGAAGTCGTGTAGTGGACCATCCCGCGTGCTTTTAACCATCGCGAGAAGTCGCTTGATAAGAATTCAGACCCCCGGTCTGTCATTATTTGCCTGATTTTGGTGTTGTGTTGTGTCTCCACCCTCGCATAGAATTCCTTAAATTTTTGAAAAACTTCATTTTTGTGTTTTAGAGTGTACACGAAGCCATAGCGGCTGAAGTCATCCACTATGGTCAGGAAGTACCTCTTCCTGTACTTAATGGAAGGCCTTAGTGGCCCCACTAGATCCATATGTACAAGTTGGAAAACCGAATTAGTTGTGCGTACTGACTTCTTGGGCCTTGGTTTGGTTTTTAATTTGGAGCCCTTACAAATAGAACACTCGAGATAGTTCTCACAATCCTTTATTTTTACACCTTCAGAGCATTCCAACATTTTCTGTACTACGGGGAAACTAATGTGTCCTAGTTTCCTGTGTAATAGGTGGGCACAGTTGTCATGCATTGGTTTCCCTATCATTGGTTTCTCCTTCCTGGGTGTCCCCTGTTCATTGGGCTCATTGGTGGTGTGTGTGTGCTCAACCCCCTCTACCTCCTTGCTTGCGTTGCCTGTGTTATTGGAGTTAACCCCTCGGTGGTTGTTCACTTCTGGCTGTGTGCTCTTGGTTGGGTGGAAGAATGGTAGTTCCCCACTGACTACTACTTTCCCTATCCCTTTACCCCCTCTGGTCACCTGTGCCTTTCCTTCTTTGAAAGTCACCTCGACATTGTTATCCTTGCTTAGTTTTAGGGTGGCAAGGATATTATATGGTATATTTGGTACTAGGAGTACTCCCCGTACCATACCTATTCCTGGTACGTATGCATTACCTTTGCCTGTTACTTGTACGTTATTCTGGTTAGCCACTTTCACTACAAAACTTTCTCCTGTGAAAGAGGTTAGTAGGTTGCGATCATGTGTGGTGTGGTTTGTGGCTCCTGAGTCCAGCAGCCATGTGCCTTCCTCCCTGTCTTGGCCTACGTGTTGTGCTTGATCCCCTATGCCGTATAGTGATCCAGTGTGACTCTCCCTGGAACTGTCCCTGTGGTCTCTCCTGTCTCTAGGGCTAGGTGAATCCCTACGCCTGTGCCTGACCTCTGGCGAGCGTCCGCTAGTGTGTCTTGTCCTTTGTTCTGGTCTATCTCTCCTATGTATCCTGTCCCCTGTATTTTTAGGGCAGTCCCTCTTGTAATGGTTTCTTGACCCACATATATAGCACTCTGTGTTGTTCTGGCTCCTGCTCTGTGGCTCAATCTTTCTGCTGGGTCTTTGCTCCCTGCGGCTTAGGGAGCGTTCCCTTCTAATGCAATCCTCTGATATTAGTTTACTTGTTAGTAATTCAAGTGAGAGCCTCCCTGTCCCTAGATTGTCTATCTGTGTAACAAAGGTGTCCCAACTGGGATCTAGGGAATTTACTATGATACTTATCATGGTCCTCTCGCTTATGACCTCCCCCCTTTGTGTCAGCTGGGCCCTAGTATTATTTAGTGATAGTAAATGCTCGCTCATGGGTGTCCCTGCCTTGAGTTTAGTGGCATAAAACTCCCTAGACAGCCTGGTGGTGCTGGCAACGCTTTGGCAGTAAAACAGTTTGTGCATTCTCTGTATTATCTCTAATGCAGTCAGGTGGTGGCCAATACTGGGGTAAATGCTGGGGGTAATGCTGGCAATGACAATACAGTAAGCTTTGTGATGGATGCAATCCAATTCAAAAGTCCAGGGTTTCTCTGGGGGGTCTGTGACCATGGATAGCAGGTCTTCCTTAAGCAGGGTGCCCTGGAGCTGCTGATTCCAGTCCAGGAAATTCTCCCCATCTAGCCTCAGTTTTGGAAAATCACTGGGTAAAGTCCCTGAATTGTAAGTTAAATTACTCACATTATGTCGCTGTCCATGGTTCCTCACATAAGGATACTCGCAATATGGCAGAGGAACGACTGTGGCAAGTCTGAACTGACTTGTATCTACGTGTCTGCGTCGGTGTAGCTCTATGTCCTGTTCCGTTTTTCTTACAGGGGCGTGCTGCGCATGCGTGAGGTTCATTTCTCCCCAGTCGTCGTGGAGTGAGGAGCTCATCCATGCTGCTCCCGGATGAAGGCCCCAATCTTCCGGATGGGCCTTCAGCTCCTCTCCGGTTGGCCTTGCCTGCTCGGGGTCGTCGCGGATCGTCGCCTGGAGCCTCGGAAAACGGTGAGGATCGCCGGTGGGCGTTGGGAGTCCCGTTGGGGCCGCGAATGGTCCCGGTTGGCCCGGTCTCGCGCGGATGTCGCCTGCGGGTGCCGGGCCGATCCCCCTGCCCGCCGATGGACGTCCTCTGCCTGCGGATGGCCTCGCGATCCACGGGTCTGGTCCCGGTCGTCGGTCTGGTGAGTAGTCCCATCGCCTTTGGCTTCCGGCTTTAGTGGGTGGACCTCTTAGGGGCTCTGGGTGGTCCTGGGTCCACGCGATGGTGGCATCCTTCCCAGGGTGGGTGCCGGTGCCGGCCCTCGTCGCGTTGAGGTCCCTTTTATTTTTCGGCCTGGCGCCGGGATGTACGGCCGGTATTTTTACCTTGTCCTCTAGGGCCGCGGCGATTAGTTCGATGGCCTTGTTGACTTCGGGCTCGGTTGGTGAGCTTGTAGGTTTTGTTTTTGGGCCTTTGTGTTTTTTGTAGTATTTTTGGTCGGTAGTTTTTGAGTAGGCCCCGATTCCCGCCATAGGATTTAAATCCTGGGAGTCTATTGGTGGATGGTCGGCCATCTTTGATGACGCCGTCTCCCAAGATGGCCGCCGTGAAAAGGGCGCGAAGTCTCCTTCGGCCTTTGCGGTAAGTTTTTGGTGGGGGAAATCTTCCCTTACCGGGTCTCCTTCGCTGTAGTCGGATTCGTCCTCATCTTCCTCACTCGCTGCTTCGGAGTCTTTGATCAGGCTTCGGAGTTCCGCGATGAGGCCGCTGTTGCTTTGCGACGAATCTATCAGTTCGAGGAGTTTTCCTTTTAGGTCGTGCATCTCTTCCTTTGAGGTTTCGTGTTTCGTCCACTCCTCGTTGCTCCTGGCCGGGGTGGATGGGTGGTGGAGTAGGCCGCTCGTCTCGGGTGCCTCTCCTTGCGTGGTTTCGGGTTGGGCAGATCGTCCTGCCATCTTCTTGGTGAATGCTCTGGTATTCACCCTGTCTGTTGTGGTCCCTTGCATGTCGTGGAGTATCAGGATTGGGCTATCCAACCATCCTCTGCTACCATTTTGTTAGATATGTTCGAGGATCGTGCCCAATAACTCCATAGACAAAATCCTAGTGTATCAAGTATTGTTTATTAATTAAGCATCTTATCGTTACAGGTACAAGTCTGGAACTGAGGCAGGACCGCATGGCCGACCCTTAAGTACCCCTGGGGCGTGGCTAAGGTAAGGAGGGGTCATTGAGTTAGGGTGGACCTTGGGGGTTGGCTTGCCCAGCCCCCCTGCTTCTGGATCTGGATCAGAGGCAAGGCATTTATTCATGACAAACACTTCATGTGATCTTGATTCTAACCCTCTGTTTATGCAGCCCAGAACTGTGTTGGCTTTTTTGGCAGCTGCTGCACACGGCTGGCTCATATCTAAATGGTTGTCCACTAGGACTCCAAGATCTGTTGTGATTCCAACGACAAGAGGAACAGCCTGGGATGTGCCAGGAAGAAGGCATATCGGAGCACCCATTGATAGGGAGTGAGGAGGATGAATCCTGGCTTGATCCCAGGCAGCGTCGGAGGGAGAAGCGTGTGCAGCAACGGAAGAGGCATGGGAGGGCCAGAGATTGAGCTGAGTCAGGGAGCCATGCCCCACCAGGAATAAAAGTGGGTGGGATTGCTCTTCAGGCTTTGTGACGGACAAAGTTAAACCCTGAAAGTCACATCATGATCTCTGAAATTCGGCTTGGATATATTTTGGACTGAACATTGACTAAACTCTTGTCTCGTGGATAATTTGTTGCTCCTGGAATGGACTGAAGATAAGTCCTCTTCTGCTTTATGGGAGTGAAAACGGTCTTGGCAGGCATTCGGCAGTTTGCTGCCAAAACCTTGGTCTGCCAAGAATTCTAATCTGTTTACCTAATAAAATATTAGCAGGCGTGCTTGGTATTACGTTTGCTTGTGTGAGGAAGGGGGACAGAACAAGATCCCTCTCACAGTTACTACTGTTTTGTGGGGGGAAAGTGAGTACAAATTCAGAGAAAAAGCAACTAGGTCTTGAGGCCCTTGAAGGACTAAGCCAGAATTTCTTAACCTCAGCAACCAAGTCTCAAAATCAAAGTCCATCCCAGTTGGCTGGGGAAATGTAGGAGATGAACTCTATGTATCTTGCTGAGATTGAGAAATAACAGCTGTAATCCATCCAGAAAATGTTGGGTGTTGATCAGATAGGAAATGATAATGATAATGGAAATACAGGTCTCCTTGACTTAATAATAGTTCAGTTCGTGACCATTCTAAGTTACAATGGCACTGAAAAAAGCGACTTATGACCATTTTTCACACTTATGACCATCGTAGCATCCCTAAGGTCACATGATCAAAATTGGGATGCTCGGCAAGTGGTTCATATTTATGACAGTTGTAGTATCCTGGGGTCATGTGATCACTTTTTGCAACTTTCTGACAAGCAAAGTCAATGGGGAAGCCAGATTCACTTTAGAATCATGTTACTAACTTAACAACTGCAGTGATTTACTTTAAAAAAATGTGTCAGGAAAGGTCGTAAAATGGGGCAAAACGCCATTAGCAACATAAATTTTGGGCTGCACTGTGGTCATAAATCGAGGGTTATTTGTAATAATAATAAAACTAGGTATGCTGTTATGGGATCATGGCTATCTCTTCTTTCCAAGCTCACAGACTTGGAATTAGGCCAAATTTGGGGTGCAATTAGTCAGTTTGGTATAGTGGTGAAGGCACCAGCCTGGAAACATCATGAATTTTAGTCCTGGTTTAGCCACAAAGCCCACTGAGTGACCTTGAGCCAGTCCCTCCCTTCTCAGCCCTAGGAAGAAGGCAATACCTAACCATTTCAGAAAAACTTTACCAAGAAAACTTCAGGAATTAATCCAGGCAGTCATCAGGAGTCAAAAACTGACTTGAAAGCATCATTGACATTGCCCTAAGATATGTTTTTCAGCCTTGAGGAAAGCGCTGAGTGTGTTGACTTGCTAGTCGTGGTGAAGCTTCTCCTTATGAAAGGGCAGACAAGGAGTTGTGTTGAGTGTACAGTATTTGGAGGGGCTTTAGGTTGCTGGTTGTTGTAGTCTGCCAGCAGCCTGCGGAGCTGGCAGCAGAGTCGGACAGTGAGGAGGCTGGGGAGGAACATGGGCCAGTCCTGGAATCTGGGGAAGGCTCGGACGAGGGCTCTGTGTCAGAGATGAGGCAGAGATGGAGCCAGGGCCATTGGGGAGTGATGCAGGGACTCTGGAGCCCCCCGAGTCAGACATCAGAGAGGCAGAGGAACAGGAGGAGCCTGTTCCCAGTGCGTGTATGTGCAAAGCTGCCAGAAGGCAAGAACAGTTAAAACAAAAGGGACGACTCGGGAGTAGGGCTTGGAGATGATTGTCCCCTCCCATAAGACTTAAAAGAGGAGCAAAGGCATGTGGGCCTTTGCAGGAAACAACCTTTGTTCATTCTGTTCAGCTTAAAGCCTGAAGCTCTGTTTGATTCTGGACTCCATGTGGCTTTGCCAAGTAGGTCTTTGGCAGAGGGTCAAGGGAGATAAAGGTGGATGATTATCCCGAAGGACTCTTTACAAATAATTGGGGCTCATCTGTGAATGAACAGAATTCACAGCTGTTGCAGTAAAAGAGTTTTTTGGGACTACTCATGTGTTTTAATGAGTCAGGAAGCCTAAGTCAGAACACAGTTTGCATGGGAAATTAAGCAGAATCACAAGAGCGGCATCCTGTGGGCTCTACAGGAGTCATCCTCAGTGGGTAGCTTCTTGATGAGAGCAAGATGGCATGGACAGACATAGCACGTTGCAACAGCCATAGCAAAGAGAAGCAGAGGAGCTGAAAGATCAGCTCCATGATGCCGGTTCAGTTCCCTTGTCTGAATCTTGGTAATGTGGTCCTTGGCCTACAATCATAATTCAGCCTGGCAATTATTATGGTCGTAAGTCATGATGGCTGTAAAGCTGTGGTAGTCAACCTATTTAGACCTACCGCCTACTTTTGTATCTCTGTTAGTAGTAAAATTTTCTAACTGCCCACCGGTTCCACAGTAATGCTGATTTATAAAGTAGGGAAGTAACTTTACTTTATAAATTTTATAAAGCAGAGTTACAGCAAGTTAAAGCATATAATAATAATTACTTACCAAGTACTTTATGTCGGACTTTCGCTAAATTTGGCAGAATAAATCTTTATAAAACAACTTACTGTAGTTAAATTTATCTTTTTATTTATACTTTGCATACATAGAAGCATGAAGACTGATGAAATTACATTTAATTAATTAAATTATTAATGAGATCCCTGAGGCTGAGGCTGCGAAACTAAATACTGGATATCTGGCTCAATTTTTGTAAGGAACAAACGAAAGTCTCCTCTTTCGGAAATATTCAGGCGGTTTCTTTCTTTAGTCATAATATGATTAGCACTAAAGCCTGATTCCACAAGATATGAGGTAGGGAAAGGTATCAATAAACTGAATATCATTTTCCACATACCGTATTTTTTGGAGTATAAGAAGCACCTACCTTTTTTGGTTGTTAGGTTTTTTTTAAGTTTTTTTTTTATCTTTTAGACAAACACACATAACAAACATACAATGTATTTTCTTTGAACAGAGTATTTGGCTGGTTAAACAGTGTTTAGTCATTTCAATTAAATTTACAATTTCTATATTTCATTTTTGCCATATTTATTCCTCATCTATTTTTTGAAAAAAACCAATATTATCCTTCATCCTCATCTCTAATCTTAATCAAATTCAATTTTTCCCTTTTATTCTATATTATACCCCTTCCCATTGTCATCTATTTTTATATCCATCCTCACATTGGTTAATTATTTAATATTACAATTGTTTAATACAAATTCAACATTTTAATATAAATCAATTAGTTATATAACTATCTTTTTTGTATATTAATCAATATGAACGTGAATATTCCAATTATTTCCATGCAATCCAATTTCTTACAATTCAATTAATTATATTTACCAATAATAATAAACCAAATAATTTTCCCCATATATTCCTCCAAACCACAACTTAACCATTTCTGCTTTCAACACAATATACAATTAATAGTATGTCAATTATTACAATTCCCTAGTTAAATAGAGCTTTTTTTCTTTTGTGTTTTAAAATTTTGAACCCTCCCCCTTTGCCCTAAATTTCCCATTGTTTGCACCTACCTTTTTTGGTGAGGAAAAAGAAAAAGAAATCTCTCTCTGCCTCAATTTGCCATGTTGCAGCAAAGAGCCTGCTTTACTTTCAATTTCGTTTTTCAGCATAGCTAGGGGAAAAATATCTGCTCCAGCACTTTTTGCAGCAAGCAGGAGAGCCCTGCGCAAAACAGCTGAGAGCAAGTCAGCTGAGAGTCGGGAGGCCTAATCTACTTGTGCTAATTAACTTATGCTGAAGCTGAAAGGAGCTGTTTTTTCTTGCTGTTTGCTTGCAAGGGGGTAACTGCTGCGAGGCACAGGCCAAAGGGTGGGGGGCAGTGGGTGGGGAGGGCTACATTCAGTGTGTAAGACACACCTAAATTTTCACCCCCTTTTGGGGGGTAAAAAGGTGCGTCTTATACTCCGAAAAAGATGGTATTTGGATTTTTTAATTTGATTTATATGCCGCCCTTCTCCAAAGACTCAGGGCGGCTTACAATGTGCTCAGCAATAGCCTTCATCCTTTTGTATATTTATACAAAGTCAGCTTATTGCCCCCACAAACTGGGTCCTCATTTCACCTACCTTAGAAAGGATGGAAGGCTGAGTCAACCTTGAGCCTTGGCGAGATTCGAACCCTGCAGTAATTGCAGGCAGCTGGTCTTAAGCAGCTTAATAACAGGGTGCCTTAAACCCCTGTACTACCAAGGCTCTTGGATATAAGACAGGCATTTTTTTTTATTTTGCCATAGGTTTTCATATCCACCACTATCGAATTTATGTTTACTTTCTTCATCATATCTAATTTCTAACAGTTCTTCTTGGCAAGTTGTATCAGCCTCTTCAATATTTGCGGTAAAAGGATTTTTCATCCAGTCATACACCTTTAATTTCAAAATATCTTCAAATCATTTTTCCATGTCCAATTTAAGTTCATTGAGGTGGCTACTGAATCTGTCAATATCCCCTGGAGTTACATCATCTTTTATAGATGATAATTCAGGAAACTGATGAAATTCTCTCTTCAATAGATTATAATGAAGTA